TTTTTAATCTGTTTGAAAGACGAAACTCTATGTTGTGTTCAGAGTTTCTGGTCTGATCACTGCTATCTAAAACATTACACATGTGGCCTTGTTATTTCATGTTGTCAAATTCCCTTGCTTTTTCACTTTTGACAGATAATACATGACTAAGATATGGTACCATCAGTGTCGTGTATATCTTTGTTGATCTTTTTAAACCTTGATTGCGATACCTCTGGAATCTGGGTTCCATGTCAGTCTTTTTTTATTGATGTTTCTGAACAAATTGTATCCTGGGAGAGCTGTACATGGCACCTTATGGAAATGAAATTGATCATGTTGTCAAGGTGAAGCAAAAGAAATGGAGAATAATACTTAAATTCTGAAGTAGTGACAAAAAAATGCAACATCTTGGAGCAGATTTACTCTCTCAAGCAAATTAGTGAATGGGAGTAGGAAGGTTCTCTTTTAAATACTTTTATCTTAGATGTGTTTATTTAAATCAAATGTGTTGGCTTAGGGGCAGATAGATTTGTTGACATCAGAATGGGAGAGGATGCTTATAAGTCAGCTAAATACTAATATAGAAATAGTTTGACTTACCTAACAGCCATCTTTCATCAGTCTACCTTTTTGGCTCTTGCAAATCTGTAAGCACATTTTTTTCCCTATAAAACTCGACAGTTACACATGCAGTGCAGTCATCTATTGTTATATTTTAGATCTTTTCATAGCTGAAAACTATACTGGATAATAGGTTATGATGTAACCTTTAAAACAAATTGCATGCATGGAGTAAAACTGAAAGGTTTTGTACAAAACTCTAGACCCGAGTTCTCAAGCTTTAAGTAATGAAAGAGCCGACAATAAACTGAGCATTCAGATCGTTGTTTTTGTTGTGAGTGCTTCATTTGATTACTATTTTCTCTGCATTATGCTCCTAGAAATAAAATCTGTTTTGTAAACCTTAGCAGCTGTTTCAAAGAAGACTTATCCCTCTATTCAAGAACTGACTTGGTTAATTGCAGCCATGATAAACACTAACAGGAAAGAAAATAGTCAAACTTTAGTCCATGGTAGAGCAAAACCTTTTGTTGGTTAGAAACCGGATCTTTAAAGATAGAGATATTATTTTTGGCATGAAGCCTCAGGCTTGCAGCTGACGTTTTTAGTTGAGTCAGCAGAGCAGCAGCGAATTATATTCATGCTAATTTTTCTAACAGCATGTTTGATGTTAGAAAAGTCTTCTGCTATAACCAGATCACCTCAAGAAAATGAAAGGTCACTAGAGAAGATGACAGGATTGTATTTAACCAAGCTTGAACCAGAAATGGAGTGCCCCTTTTCTCCCAGTAAGACCAGATGTTTGTGGTATAGCAGTTTAATGGGCAAACATTTATGTCTGTTTGGATGACAAAGTTAATTTTGAATCTTGCAGGTATGTTTATAGGTCCTTTGAGCAGCCTGTATTTTGCAGTGTTTACATGTCCCCATGCATTAAGTAAAACAAAAACATTGGGTTGAAGGATGGAGAAACCTGGCACTAGTTTCTGTCTTATTACCATGGCAAATTGGCAACATTGAGTGAGAACCGTCAGCAGATTATTATACCATTACACTTATTATACCATTTAGGCTTTGGCAGGGCAACTTTATAAAGCAACCCTTTTGCCATCAATTACAGTGAGGAAAATAAGTATTTGAACAAAGTGCTATTTTGCAAGTTTCCCACTTACAAATCATGGAGGAGTCTGAAATTACCATCCTAGGTGCATGTCCATTGTAAGAGACATTATCTAAAAAGAAAAAAAAATCCAGAAATCGCAATATATGATTTTTAACCATTTATTTGTATGACAGTTGCAAATAAGTATTTGAACACCTGTCTATCAGCTAGAATTCTGACCCCCAAAGACCTCCTAGTCTTCCTTCAAAATGTCCACCTCCACTCCGTTTATTATGCTAAATTAGATACACCTATTTGAGGTTGTTAGCTACATAAAGACACCTGTTCATCCCATGGCCAAGACCAAAGAGTTGTCAAAGACAATTGAGGAGAAATTGTGGTGGTAGCATCATGCTTTAGGGGTGTTTTTCTGCACATAGGACACGGCGAGGATGACTGGGGCCATATATTGCGAGATTTTGGGGAACAACCTCTTTCCCTCAGTTAGAACATTGAACATGGGTCGAGGCTGGGTCATCCAACATGACAATGACCTGAAGCACACAGCCAAGATTACCAAGGAGTGGTTTGGAAGAAGCATATCAAGGTTCTGGCATGACCTAGACTCTCGACCTAAACCCAATAGAGAATCTTTGGAGGGAGCTCAAACTTCTTTCACAGCCACACCCAAGAAACCTGACTGATCTAGAGAAGATCTGTGTGGAGGAGTGGGTCAAAATCCCTCCTGCATTGTGTACAAGCCTGGTGAAAAGCTACAGGAAACATTTGACCTCTGTACTTGCAAACAAAGGCTACTGAACCAAATATTAACATTGATTTTTCTCAGGTGTTCTAATACTTATTTGCAGTATCATACATATAAATAGTTTAAAATAAAATCATACATGGGGATTTCTGGAATTTCTTTTTAGCTTATGTCTCTCACAGTGGACATGCACCTACAATGACAATTTCAGATTTCTAAGTGGGAGAACTTGAAAAATAGCATGGTGTTCAGGTGCTTATTTTCCTCGCTGTAGCATAAAAAGGAGTCACATTCTAAATGAAAGGATCATCTTATGAACTTGTGTGAAAATCTTTCAAGACGGCTTCAGAATTGTTGTGAATCAGTTAAAGTGTTTAACTTCTCTATACTAATCGATGCATTTACTGTATATGACATACAGAGGAACCAAACAAGTTCCTGCCTGCACATAAACAAGTGGGGATATTAATGACATGGGTTCCTGTTCGAGTGGCAAAGCCTTGAAAAACATGTTTTTACTTGGGTGTTTACTTGGGTGTTTCCTGGAGCGAAGTGTGGGAAAAGGAAATAAACCTGATAAAAAGTTTTTTTTTTTCTTTGCCATCTCCCTCATAATTATGTTTACACCTTAACATAGTTGCTGTAATGCCAGCTTTTACATTGTTTACTCCACCAAGCTTCATTGGTTTAAGAAAAGGATGATAGAATGGCTTTAAAAAAAGAGAGATTTTTAGCAACAAACCTCTAGAATAACAGTTCTTTTGTTTATTATTAGTTTATTTTTTTTGCTGTTTTATGTAATCACTGCCTATTGATTTTTTATTTTATTTTTTACTGTTAGAGGTTGACATATTTGAAAAAATAAATAAATACATGCAATGAAATAATCATGAATTGTGGTATTTACACAATGAGTACTGTGCTGAAGTGTAACAGGACTGCTCCCTTACTTTGACTGATACCAAACAGGCATAGTAGTTTACCTGGTCATGCTGAGTTGACCTTTTTTTGGAAGTATGTGAATGCATGATGGTTTGTCTTCAGCATTTTATATTTTTCCCTTTAATAAAATATGTTTGCATTTTTGTGCCTAACCATCCTTTATCCAATACCTTTTAACCTTATAATTTAATAATCAATTACGAAAAATGCTGGAAATGTCATCGATCTAATGAGTAGCTTCTCTGACAGAGATGCCACCACTGCATACTCCCATGACTAATAGGATGCTGCATTCCTCTGCTTTCAAAAACAAAACATAAATATTACAAAGAGGCACATTTTGCTTTTTAAACATGTTGTGACAATAAGAATTAAGCTGTCAGCTGCATAAATTCTAGATTTTACACACCACAACTTTTTTATCAGCTTGAGCCTTAAGTTTTAAGTTTTTATCCGTCATGCTCTTAACTTTCGAGTTAGCCATGTACCGTGGTTCATTTTACACTTTACACTTTGTGCCAGGAATAGTGAGGCCTAGCCTATGGTTCAGATTTCCATCTGCACTTGCTGGGAGGGATCAGTGTACACATCACACATATAGGGAGGCGTGCAGCTGTAGAATGGTGACATTTGGGTTTTAGACATGTTGTCAAACACTTACTCTTGTAAGTGATCACACAGACAGTGTTTTTTTTCATATTGCTGCTAGCACAGCATTGTTTATTCAAGGAAATGTCCCAGATTGCGCACAAACAAAGCTTTAATGTAGCTTATAACATAGAAAGGAATGTTTTAGAAGAATAAAACACAGTGATGAGTTTTGAGTTGTTTCTTGTTAAATGATCTAATGCTTGAAGTATTGAGTTAGTGTGGGGTAGGTTTGGGGTTAAGCAGGTGGTAAATGTCACAAAGTTTATTTTATGTATTTATTTTTTAACCTTTAGTACTTTAATTAAACTATAACTAAAATAGAAGGTTTGAGAAAATGCTTCCACACTGCCAGTTCCCCTCTCTCTCTTTGCATGCTAGTCAACACGTCCGGTTAAATCTGATGCAAACTCTGTGTTATGTAATTGTTTGATTGCTAAATAAGAAAGCACACTGGCTTTGAATACTGATTGTGAATAAACCAGGACACGCCTGCGGCTGTTTTTCCCAGCCTCTGATATGAGCTGAAAACATGGAGGAGGAATTTACAAGGCGTCACAACACGTCTTTACAGCTTTGGAAGTATTTGCTTATTTAGCTTGCCTGCTAATGATCCAAATATTAGGACGAGGATTAATGTGAAGTTTGGATGATACGTTATTCAGTCAGCTCATCCTCTTTTTGTAGTGCCATAGGAAGTGTATTTACAAGTTTAGGATTTTAAACAAGGTTTGCTGAAATCCCTAAACTCATGAAACATGCAGCTTGAATCGGTCTGTCCTTCTTTGCACTATAAATGCTTTGCATGTGAAAGCATGAAGGCTGCTCCTTTCGCAGCACCGTTCATTAGAGAGAAAGTGCATTATTGAGAATAAAATGTTTATTCACAGTGCTGATGGGCACTCTGACCATTGTTTACTTTTCATCTTGATTTTAGCTTTTTTATTTATTTTTTTCTAACTCCTGGATAATGTTTGGTCTTTCTTGTTTTTTTTACAGAATGAAAAGCCTCTGGGTCATTCAGCAAGCAGATCCAGTAATATATCAAAGGTGAGTTACACACCGACAAATGGAGAATTTCTAATTTAAAGACAGAGGCAGATGGAAGTAGTTGACAGACTAAGAACAACTAAAACAATCACTTTTTTCACATCAAATAGGCCCTATCATGGTTTCTGTTCTGCTCCAATCAGTCTGTCTAACTCTCCTTTATCCATTTTTTCTTTTTTCCTCTCATTCCACTGTACCTAAAGTCAGCCTCCTGTATTAAGTGCCGTGTCACACTATCAGTCCACACTCCCCTGAGCCTCTTAGAGTATAAACACTTTAGTTGGACTAATAGATGTCAGGGTTATTTTGTCACTAGGGGACAGCTCCCAGCAGTTTTATTTGATTCACCCGCCACTTGCTCTTTGGACACGAGGAATGGGGCATTTAATGCACCCAAGTGGCAAATTTATTGCTCATTTTCAGGGTAAAGGTTGCGGTTTGACATAAATAATGTCTTGAAGGAGAGTCTGAAGCTCCATTAGTGAAATGGGCTGCTTGGGCAAAAACCTGGCAAACTCATAATTTGGTTTGTAGACGTGTTTACTTTAAGAAAATTGTGTTGATTTTATGTGATATGTGATAAAAAAAATGTGTTGCGTAGGGCTGTTGCTTATCTCCAGCAGTCAGTTGGCAGAAGGCAGGGAACCCCCTGGACAGGTTCATTATGCATAGTCAAATATTTCAAGAGTTTGTTTAGTTGGATTTTAAAACCCTTAGTTTTGGAGAAATTAGAATATCAAATAGACATAGAAACATTAGTCTAAAGGCATTCATGTAGTGGTATGCACCCTCAAATGAAAGATTGCCAAACTGATAGACATTGAACCCAACCACAAGGACTGTTTTCTACAAAAGGACAAAAGCTTGTCACATTATTGTACTAAGGAGTAGTTATGAAAGTTGAGTGGAAGGAAAAAGAATCTGAAAAGTTAAGTATTGAGTGCATATACTGTAAATAAATGACTTACAACATTTCTCTATCAAACTTTTTTTTATTGTGTAGAGGTAATATTCAAATGTTCTTCCTTCCATAAATCGGGTTTCTGTTGCTTTTAGTGTTTGGAAATGTAATCCTCATTCTAAAGGTGGATGTTATGTTTTTAAACCCTGCTGTTTCCCATTTAACACTAGAAATCCCACAGATACGAGAATTTTCGTCTGCCTGCAATCACCCCGCAGTACTCATCAACTCATGAATCCCTTTTCAGATGTAAATGCACCATTAGCGCTGTGGCTGGAGAAACATCCACCCCCTTCAGTTTCGGTTTTAGCTGAAGTCTCTCTCTTTGAGACTGTTTAACCTGAGAGCTGGAGGGGGGGAAAAAATCATATTTGTAATTAAATATAACTAGGTCTACGTCATCAGTGTCGCCAACAGCGCAATGATTTCAGCGCAGCCACCAGTGCAGCGATCAAATGATAACTGATCTGTACAATGAAAATAGCTGCATGAGCTGGGACGCTGTAGAAAGCAACAATATTTATACAATAATGACTATTATTTATTTGGGGGGGAAATATAACTCAAGCGATCTCTCCTCTCTCTCCTCCGCTGCGGACACGCAAAAAGCATAGTGAAACTGCAGTAAAGTTGGCACTAAATTCACCTATTCTGCTTTTACGGATTCATTCAACCAGTTATGGTCTATTTAAAAGCAAAATAGACATTCCACCCCTTTCTGCCATTTTCAGCCATTGCAATATAGTTGGTGCAGAAAGTAGTGGACGCAGTGTAACAAATTGTATGATTCAATACAACCAACAACTATAATGTTTGACTAATCCATCCTTGAACTCAAGTACGCTATTCACTTTGAGAAATGAAGATGGTAGATTCATAAAATTGATAACCTGGAAGTGCATGACTTTTTTTTAGCAGTTCTGGAGTAGATTAGTGTGTTGGTTATAACAGGGAACTGTAAAAGCTGAACAGGTGGATACATGTAACCAAAACAGAACATAAGCATATCATGCATCACTTGGAGAAAATAAATTCATCTTAACTGTTGTCCTAGAGCAGGCATCCCCAAACTCGGTCCTCGAGGGCCGCTGTCCTGCAGGTTTTAGAGGTTTCCCTGCTTTAGAACAGCTGATTATGATGATTGCAGTAGAGCAAAAGCCTGTTAATCAACTATCAATTAAAATCAGCTGTGCTGGAGCAGAGAAACATCTAAAACCTGCAGGACAGCGGCCCTCGAGGACCGAGTTTGGGGATGCCTGTCCTAGAGACTCAAGATATACAACAAAACATATTAGGGTTGGGAAAAGTGGATTTTGCATAATATGGCCCCTTTAAGGACTACTTTTTACTGACCGTTTTCCTTGGTTAGCAGTAAGCAGGCACTTTGTCATTAAACGTCCCACCTAGACCACCATTCATCTGACAAATGTGTCAAACAAAGGGAGAGACATAAAGTATTAAGGATGCTCTTAATTTTGACAGTTTTAATTAATATCGAGCAGTCGAGCTGCCAGATGGTGTTTCCTTCTCCCCCCTTTAGGGATTGCGACTGATGGACAGGTTTTGAATTGGGATTAATTGTTCTCTGGATAGACGAGAATGCTTATCTGTTTAAAAAGAGCCAGTCTGCTCAATAAAGAAAAGGTTCAACTAAATTGGAAATCCAGACAAAGAAGTTACTCAGTAAAACTTTTAGCAGATTATGCCAGCAGTTTTGCTCGTCGCAGGAATATTATATATCTTCAGTTGTACACTATCTTTTAAAAACCACGTTTCCTCCAGGCTGCTTCAAATAAGATCTGCAGGAGCAGAAAAGTGAGATTTTATTCAAATATGCGGTATATTTATAAGTCGCCTCGTTCTCTGCTGTATTGGCAGGATGAGATGAAGGATTTTCATATTTTCGGCAGCGACTCAAATCTTCTTTTTACAGCAAGAATACCAAAATGTAGGCCAAGTTAATTTGTCTTGCAACACTGGATCACAGTGAAATACACAACCAAAGATGTGTTCTGTTAAATTACACATATGCTCTTTTTGGAGATGCTGCAGATAAGAGTTTTTCATGAATAATCCTCGCCGAAATACAGTTTCTTTAACTCTTTTCAACATGTGATAAAGCAGGACAGCCAAGTGTTGCTGAATTACCTCACACAGCTCCAATTCGAACCAAATCAACGTGGATAGTTTTAGAAAAGAGAAAAACTGAACAAATGCTTTTTCATGTAGATGTTGACCTACTTAACTAATATGTCTCTGTAAAAATAACCACAGCTTCAACCTGAGAGGAGTATTTCATAACAGCTTGGCACAATAGTCCATTTTAGAGGATCTGTGATCTCCAACATACAAATAATTTATTCATTCTGCTCCACATTTGGGCTGATACCCTAAAAAGATGCCTGTTTTCCTTCTAGTGAGGGATGTATGACTTTTTCTGCTGAGTTTACCACAGAAACAAGTATAAGTTGCAGATATGCAGGTGCACCGATGTTTACCAAAGGAAAAGCTGTCAGGAGAAACATGAGAGTCTTCCAAAGCAGGCAAACATTTCAGCCAGAGGGTACACTCTTTCATAAGGATGATATTGCCTCCATCAATGAGCTTGTAACTGTGGGGTAGAAATGTTCTGTACATACAATGAAAAATATTTATTATTTTTATTTGGTTGTTTACCCTGTGCATGTTCATAAAGCTTTCACAAAGCGAATGACCTGAAAGTTGTGAGAAAACGGTCAGAATTTAGTCTCTTTATACATTTAGAAGTAGATCTGAATCACTATCAGGGAGCATGATGTGGGCTGAAGATTGCCCACCGATTTGGCATAATTAGATTTTCCACAGGTTGAGTTCAAAGGCCTCTCTGTTTGGCAAAAAGCTAACAATGCCTCCTACACAATTTTGGGAGAAAATTAAACTATTAACAGTCCTCATAAGCCCATAAAGCAGCCATTTAGGATAAATCAGATATTCTGATAATCAGCGAAGCATCTGGTGGAGCCTGAAGTAAAAGAACTGCAGGTTTGTTCCAGAATAAGCCTCATTGCATTAGAGCTTTGTACAGCTCTTTCTTCCAGATCTCTACAAGGGTTACTGACTTTAGCTTAGGGTACCACTCATGCAAGCAGGCATGTTGAGTGCTGCAAGTCTGGTTTGTTTTCTTAGGTATTGTAGCATGCATTCATTCATTCATGATCAAACAAGCTTTGATTCTTAATGAAAAAGACAAATAAACTGTAAAAATTACACATAATCAAAGAAAACAACCCTGGCCTAGGTAAAAAGAAATGTTTCTACCTTTTTGGGAGTATAGCCTTAATCACAAGTGATTTCGCACTTATCAACATAAGTAAGGTTTTGGTAGTTTTTGGTGTCCTGCTCTGTTTTTCTTTCCTCTCTTCAGTTTGTATCAGAAGCCAAAACTCTTACCTTCATATTTAGAAAACCTGTTGTGTTAACAGCTGTTAGCAATACAACTTAATAAAGTATTAATACTAATACACAATTATTTGTTTATTCAAACATAAAAGGAGAATAAAAATATCAGTTGTATAGTTATATTTCTGAAACCAATTTTAATCTGATATAATCCATCACAAGTGCAATTAAAGAGCTTAATCTTGGTATGTTAGCCTCAGCCATACTGGATATTAATCTGTGTTTTCAAATACAGAGAGAGTTGGACTCTGTCCTGGGGATAGTCTCACCAAATGACTGCTGAATTTAGGCACCAACGCTCTGTAACCGATACAAACATGACACAGGTGTAGACAGTAGATGAATTGTTGTTGACTTTCATGAACAAGCATGTAGTGACAGTAAAGGGAAGCAAGGTCCTTTATCAGAGCCTTGCAAATTTTGTTAATGACTTGGCCCAGTACCAACATAAGGTTAAACAAAGAGACCCTGAGCCAGGTGTCCTATTAATGAAAAAGTGTAACAAAGGGTGCACAAAGATAATGCTGATCAAACACACAACTAAATAGTATAAAAGATCCAGTACAATTTTCTATGAATAGAAAAAAAGCAGGGAGAAAAAAGTTATGGCTCAATTAAATGCCCATAAAGCTGAAACATAAATCCCCACATGAAAAGAGTGATGAAAAGCGTTCTGTAGATAATTGGTACATAAAGGCAATCCTAGAAATCTTTAATGGGCATTATGGACCATTCTCTCTTCTTCTAACTGAGATCAGGCTGCTGCATTAAGGCTTTTTGGTAAAATGGACCAGAGTTTTTCCAACTCTAACCTAGGGTCTCTTTTAAGAAGAAAAAATGGTGCGATTTAAATCATTAGTGCCAGAGAAATAGCCAGCCAATCAAATTAACCAGGCTTTGACACATACTACATGCTATGTAGTTACCCAATTTACAACAATGGATATCTTTAAAGTCTCGATAAGATGGTAACATGCTATTACGTAACTTGAATTTTTTTTACCTTTGCTGAAAGTAAATTCTCCTGTCTGCTTTCTGTGGATAAGATTACTGCCATCCTGTGATTGAGTTTCACAGAGACCTTTCTTAGGTTTCACGATTACACATCCCTGGTCTATAGAAGCACCAGTAGTTACTTTAGTATTTGACAAACATAACTCCTCACTCCATCTCCTGCAAGCTGATCACTTTCAAATACACCTAAAGCATTACTCATATAGTAATGAAGAAATTCATGAAGTAACAGATACAGTTCAAAGTGCTACAAAACTAATTGAAGATGTTTATCCAAACTAAGAATGTAAAAGATCTTATTGATAAACTACAGCTGGGATGGGAGGATTAAATGGCTCTTAATTTAAAAACTAGATAAATGAGGTGTTTACTCAGGTCTGCCTAACGTTTCAACAGAGCTGTAATAAATTAGTTTTGTGATGAATCTGCCTGAAGGTCAGACATGGATCTTAATCTGGCCTAATCAGCTGCTGACTCTGGCTCCAGACCACACAGACTTTCCATCATTACATCTAGCTCTTGGCAAGATGATATATGCTGGTTTATTTTTTTTGTTGTTAGTTTTGTTTATCTATTTTTTATCCTGGGGAACACTGTCATGTCAACTTTCATCAGTGCTCAGGCTGCCGAGGGTCCTTGGGTGTAGATAAACAATTTGAAAAAGATTGATAAAAAAATATAAAAGCAATAGTGCTGAATAGGTTCAGACAGAATACTCAAAAGTAGACACTTCAAGGAACATATACTAGATCTGAAAGAGTTAATGATTCTTCCTAGCTTGCTTGATATCCTGTCTAATCAGTGGCTGTTTTATAACCTTGCTATCAGCCAGAACTACAAAGATAACCAGTCTCAGCTTTTTCCTTCTTGAAATTATCAGTAGGACTGTGGATTAGTCTGGTAGTTCATAAATCTTGATTTAGTCAAGTTCATATTTATTAATTTCTTTACATGGGTTTGTTGTTTTTAATTGTAATTTGGTGCATTTCTTATGTCATTTCCAAATTTCCCCTCTGGGAGAAGGAAGAAAAAAAAGTCAAAAGGAGTAATCACTTAAAATAAAGTTTTTTTTTTTTGTTTGTTTTTTTTTTATGAAAATGTTGGAGGCAAAAAACACATTTGAAATGCTCATTCTACAAAGTCTGAAGATTCAATCAGATAGCAGACTTTTCATCATTAAAAAATTTGAGTAATATTCTCACCATCCCCTCATCTGGGTGCTTTGAGTCTCTGCTGGTTATTTATTGGCCAGCATAAGTGAGATGACTCTGGGAATGATTAACAGGAGCAAAGATTTTAAAAATTATAACACCAGTTCTGATGTTTTAGATAAAAGATCTTAATGTCTGTATCAGGGTGTTTTTTAGCCCTTTATATGATAAAATGACATCAGGGGTAAAATATTTTTATTTTAAGCGGGAATCAAATAATATATTTAGTTTGTATTCAGTCCTAATGATGCATGTTTGGCAGAGCCACTGTTTGCAACAATTATAGCTGCAAGTGTTTCTGGTCTATGGCTCTACCAGTTTTGCACATGCAGACACTGATATTTTTGCTGCATTTTCATTGCAAAATGGCTCATGTTGTGTCAGACTTGATTGACAGTGTGTGTGAACACCATTTTTATGCTAATCTATCACAGAAATCATGTAGACCAAATACTTTTGGACTTGTCTGACAAGAGCATCTTCTATCTAACTTTTTGGCTGTGTTCTCTGTTTGGTTTTAACAGCAAAATATAGTGTAATTAGTCAAAAAGATTTCACTCTGATCTTTAATCATAAAAATGTTAAATATTTACACAAGAGGAACATAGTGATTTGGAGAAACGGTAACTTAGGAGGGACAATTAGAGAAAACAGGAACAAAGAAAGGAGTTTGACCTCTGGTGTGGAACTGAAAGCATTTTTAAAAAGAGAAACTCTTCAGCATATAGAGATAACACATTCTGAAGGGCATAGCTCGACACTGAGTTCTGTATTGATCCATGTTGGGTAATGAGCTATGCATTTTCCTTTGGCAGGATATATAGTCAATAGATAATTAGTCTCATGTTGGAATTGTCTTTATATTATCTACTCCAGCTCCATCAGATCCCAGCTTTTACACTTTGTTTGTAATTATTGATAAACCATATGTGCTTGATGACACAGCTGTGGTAACATTGAAGTGAGAAATGAAAACAGAAGTAGTGAGAATACTTACACCCATCCCTAGATCCAAGTAAGGCCTATTAGGATTCTGGTACAATCAATAACCCACGTTGATTTTAAAGATGTTTAAAATGCATCTAGCTTCACTTCTTAATGGGTTTCTACAAGAAATACTAATTTGTGTCGCTGTCTTGATGAAATACTTCCAAATTTCTTCCAAACTGGATGAGTAATGGCAGAAAGTTAGGCTCTAAAGTGCTTAAGTAATAATTTCTGTCACACATAACTCATGCTTACTTTATCACCAGTTTAAAAAAACAATGAAAAAAACTTTTTTTTTAATCTTTAGAGTACAGATAATTCCAGTTATGAGATAAGAACTGTTGTAAGCTTTTGCAAAGCATTAATTTATCTTGATCCTATATATTTTTACACATTACAGTTCTAAATATTAATCTCTATGATACAATTTTTTATTTAATCACCTTTTTTAATTTTCAGGTAGTGTAAAATTTTTACTTAAAGGAATAATATGAAGTGTTTTATGAATAAAAATCTGAAAAATGTACTCTGCATTGCTTTTCACACCATTTTACTCTATTTAACAATTGCATATAGTCAACATATCCACAAAAAAAAAACAAGAAACGGCAGCAAAAAGGAGGGGATATACCACTGCATATATCTGCAATCAGACCATTTCCAGGAGGAAGCAAGATTGTGGCACCATCATGCTATGGGAACTTGTCTTCATATAGGGCAATACTAAAGGAAAACCTGTTGGAGAAAGCATGGAATGTGAGACTGGGGCAGATTTTCACCCTGGTGCAACTAAGTCTTGACTCTGAGGAATATAAATTCAAATACACATCTGACGTAGAGATTTACATTCTAAAAGAAGTTGAAAAAACATGCATCTGTAAATTTTTATGCAGTTTTATGGATATTTATCCAAAGCACTATAAAGACTGAAGATTTTCAACACGTATAAGGCCTCAGGTCCAACTTTAAGCTTTTTTCCCGACCTCGCCGCCTGCAGCTCGGCTTTTTCCCAGCACCACATCTCTCTTTGCCATCTCATCTCAACAGCATCTTCTCTCATGCTTGCCAGGTTTTTTTCACCTCCTCTGTTCAGGCAGAAAATGCATGCTATAACTTTAATCCAATACATTAACTACCAGTGTTGGGAATCCATTCCTCCTCTTCTTTTTTTTAATCTTCAGTGTCCGTATTCAGCATGCTTTGATGCCTTTTGTAAAAAAACTAATCTGGTTCAGAAGCTGACAGCCTGACTGTTGTCATTCCAGAGGGCTGCTGCAGTTTACCACTGGATATATAATGTGATGTGACATGTTAGGTTGTGTCCTGTTTATGTAACAGTGGAGTGTTGATTGTCACATGATTTGTTTTTGTCTGTCTTTAAACAGATATTTTTTCTCTTTATGTTTTTGTTCTTCAGGCGGGAAGCCCGACTTCAGTTAGCGCCCCATGCAGTTTCTCAAGGACATCCGTTTCCCCTTCCAGCCAGGACATCTGCAGGTACACATGACTCCGTTTACTGTATTTACCCTTGTCAACAGTTATATGTGCACCTGATGGCAAATAATGCACTCTATTTCCTTAAATCTCACCAGCAAAGTTTCCCATCAGTGGGTGTTGGCTAACCCTGCAGCTTTTGAGCTACTTACTGTCACTGTGAGCCCTCCTGTGATTGCCTGTAAACTGCTGTAAACAATGTTTTATAGGCTCATCAAAAAAAGTGCATCACAAGGAATTCGATTTGCAATGAAAATTTCATTTCTATTATTTGATTTTTAGTTGTTCAATCTAAAATGCAATGTCTGTGTTGCATAAATTCATTACAGATCAAGATTTTTTATTCACAGTTTGTGAAGATCCAAAGTCAGCCCCCTTTCAAATTGCAGTATAATGTCATATGTAAGCCTGTTAAATTTTGCAAAGGAAACTCCCTCTTCAGAGTGCTTATCTAAAGACATAAATGGAAAATTTAGTGGACAGAAGATCTGGGGTGCAAAATGCACTACTGGTTTATTAAAACCTTATGATGATGGTTAGCTGAGCATGTTGCATTCATGGAACTATCTTGAACCAGATATTTTTCTGTTTTATGTGACATAAGAAGAAAAGCTACCTTCTCAGTTCCCCAAAGTTCATGAAAGATGGGAATAAAGTAAGCCAAAGTCATCATTATTAACCAGCCTAGAGGATTACCTTCATTAGATACACATAGCTATCTATGTGTATCTAATGTTCTATGATGTATAAATTGAACTTGTTGAATTGCATTGCTGCAGTAAATTATTTGATGATATTCTACTATGCTAAAATGGTTTCGATTTGCTAAAGCCAGCTACAGTATAGTCAGCGTCCTTCTCCGTATTGTTGTTTCTCCATTTTAAAACATGTGGTTGTCTTTTCCATTTCTCTTTTTTTGTCTTTTTCTATACTTTCTAATCCCATTGTCTGTCATATGATCCTCTTTCCTAAACACGAACACACGCATACATAAACATCTACACAACAGCAGTCAGGATCAGGAGACTCAGAAACAGACTGCAGTGGTTCTGCTGAACTCCAACCGTAAAACCTCCAAGGGTCTTTCAGTAACCACCCTCTGCACAGACTCCCTGCGGGGCTCAAAATACACCAAACAGCGAGACTGGCTCTCCATGCTGCGTCCTGCCTCTGTCAGCGCCCAGCCTAAAAACTCCCTCAAGTTTTCTCTGTCTCTGAATGACATGGGCCAACGTGTGGACAACCTTTGTCAGGGGCTTCACTTCATAGATCGTACGTGCTCGGAGGGAGAACTGGATGCGAAGGCCGAGCATGCTCAGTGTCTCTGTAGCAATCCGGTCACCACCACTATAAGAGAGAGCCCAGATGCTTCACTCTCAACCCGCACCAGCCTCCACCTCGTCCCTTCCCTCACGAACAACCACAAATACATGTTGTCCACCCCTACCAGTCCTGCTCCTCCTTCTCATCAAAACAGTTTTGTCCAGCCTCTTTCCACACCGGGGTCCAACTTGCTTCATCTCCTCCTTCCCTTCTCCCGATCTTCTACATCAGCCAGCCTGCAATGCTCTGAGCTGGGAAGCTACGCCTCTCACCTCTACATCGCCAAATCTTGCAGTACTCTGCTGGAAGGCGCTGAATCAGGCTTCCTCTCTCAAGGAGATGACAGTGTGTTTGAAGTGGAGCTTCCCAGATCAGCTTCCAAGGAGGCAAACATGATGCTGACAGCCCCCATAATGGACAGTGTGTCTGGGACTCTTTTAGCACCTCTGTGCTATATGGATGAGGACGTGGACCTGGAGTGCCATTCTTCGCCTTTGATGGAGAAATCAGGGCCTCTGTCACATTACTCTCTATCAGGGGACTGCTGCAGGTGGGTGATTGTTTGGACGGTCTGCAGCCCTGTAACCCTCCATCGTGCAGTTAATGTGGCAGTTCTCCCAGAGACCTGTTCAGTAGTGGAGGGATCCTCCTCCTGTAGTGTAATCGCCCAATCCAGTTGTGTACATCCTCCAAAGCTCTGCTCAGAGTGGAGCTTTTAGTTAGAGGAGCCCAATATAGTTGCCCTATGTCAGTAATAACTATTTCCGTGCTTCCAGGTTTCCTTTTATTTTTGCCTTGTTTACCCTTCTGAAATGGTGTGCTCATCATTTTAATATGATACAAACATAACCACAAAAATAATACTCCTCTGTATAAAATGAGTAACTGTGGTTAATCACACTTTATTTTGTTTGAGTTCATTAGACACATTCAGCCATATCTCTAGAATCACGCAGACTCTTAAAGAAAAGTTGTCCAACAATATCTAAACCTTTAGAGTTGTTTCAGAGCAGATGAGAGACACAACCATTTGGCATCCATCAATCTGAAAAGGTTTACCAAGCTTTTTCTCAGGGTTTGGCAATCCGGCAAAAACGGTGATAAACATTATAAAAAGAATTGAGAAGCATCCCATGAATGCCTAGCCCATCAATATTATTCCTAAAGAAAATGAATGGCCAATCTAAGAGGCCACAGATAAATCCAGATTGGCATTTAAGGCACCGAGACTTCATTTGCTTTGGTAAACATCAGTATTCAACATTCAATCTAATGACAGATAATGGGCAAAATGGCATTCATAAAAAAGTTACAAGACCAAAATAACTACCTATCAAAAAAAACACACTTTAGTTTTTGTACTATTCATCTTCCATTTATCTAGGACCGGGTCTCCATGGGCAACAGTCTCAGCAGAAACCCCCCGATTTCCCCCTTCCCGGACATCTTCTCCACCCTTCTTGGAGAAGCCCAAGTCCTTCCTCTGAGTCCTGAGCCATCCCTTGGGCCTCCTTGAGTTAGACGTGCCTGGAACACCTTACAAGGGAGTCGTCCAGGGGGCATCCGAAACAGATGTTTGACCCATCTGAGCTGACAGCTCAACTTATTTAAAGTAGTGCCTAGGCACCCTGCAAAGAAAACTCCTTTTAGCCACTTGTATCTGAGATATTGTTCTCTCAGTCATGATCATAGGAACACGCATTTCACATATTCGTTGAAAAATATCAGCAAGACAGGTAGGGTAAAATGTTTTTACATTACTGAAAACACAAATTCATCCTCACCTCATCTTCTTGCAAACCTTTATAATCTTTAGTGTTCGGAGCAATAAGCTGGCTATAGTGTCATTTCATTACATTTAATTTCCCTACATGGATTTGTAAAGGTCTCTTGACATCCTTACCCCACACTTCTGCTGTCAAACAGCTTTTAAAATAATTTTTCATCTTGGGTAGATTGATGGTGGGATGAAGTCTCAATGAACATGTAATTGATTTTCCTGAGATTTTTGAAGTTCTGCGGAAAAGAGGGCTGAGGACATTAAGAAATATATGGAGACCAGCAGGTCGTTGCTGAAAATGTAATAGTGCTGACGTTTAAAGCTGGTTTCTGCTGTAAAAAGTGGATGAAAGGTTTATTTAATGCATGTCTTGGTTCAAAAGGTTGACAGAGTGCAGCCTTACAGGGAAGTATTTGATAGAGGCTCAGGCCATGACTAAATGAACTGTCTTGATGAGCCTTCATAGCAGCAGTAAAGATTAGTTGCCAGAGGCTCAACGGCGAGCTCCTCTGGGTTACAGCGTCCGTTTGTCAATACAGCAACAACTCGCTGGACTGAAGAGATTTAAGTCCTCAGCCCAGTTCGATACCAATTATGTCTTCGTTGCCCCCTCAGCTGTGGCCTGTGCTAATGCTGCTCTTATTTCATTACACTAAAGGAAAAAAGCAACATGAGCTTAGATGTGGGCGGGCACAGGTTAGAGAGCAACTGAGATTATGGGCTTCAAATAGCCTGTGTAGCCTCTGACTGTTAACACATGTACGAGCAAAAACACTCTGTGCCAGCCACTGTGTCTCGTGGCTAGGAGCGTGAGCTTAGACCTGAGTTCACCTGAGGAAGTACACGAGAGCTTGTTTTTCCACTTTAATCATTAGCCAGCTCACTTATTGACAAAGCGTCACAATGCAATATAATGGAGGCGGCTAAAAAAATACTCAGCAACCAGTTTCCATCATTTAAAACGTTTTTTTGTTTTGTTAAAAAAACGGAAGCAATCCATGCACTGGCTGGTTAAAATGTTATTTTTTGGGATATTATAAACTCATATGTGGTTCAATTTTAACAAAAAAGTAGAGGTAAATCTGTGCAAAGTTAATTAAATGTAGGTCTGAACATCTCCATTAACTCTTATTTTGAGGAAAAATGAGATTGATGGACATCATGTCTAACTTGGTTGAGTAAATTTAACTTTATTTTCTTTCAGCTCATCAGTAGTCTCTCTGTGTGGCCTCTTCGGCTTCACCCTCTCTGTGGTGCTTGTGTTGCAGAGGCTCCCCTTTCAAATCCTCCTTTTCATCTTCATCGTCTAAATTAAAAGTACTTCCATATATTAGATCACTTCAGGCTTTAGAACATTTTTTAAAACTTCTTTAACCCACCTCAGATGCTTCAGTCATTTGTTTGTTTTGCAACCGTTGCAGCAAGAGAGCAGACCAGTTACTGTATTTATGTGTGCAGCTTGCAATGCAGCTTAGAGACTGCCAAGTACACAGACATTAGGAGGAAAACTTACGTTTTCTCAAAAATGAAATTAATATTAAATAACATATTTGTAAAATTAGCATCATCTAATGTTCATGTAGTAGTTATAGTCGACGTCAATCATCGCCTCTTATATAGAACATCTGGGGGAGGTGGATTAGTAAACCATTCTATATGCTCCTTTATCTTTCCAGCATTTCTTAACGCTTCTCAGTAGTGCCTCATACACTCATATTAATGTAGCAAATTTGTAATTTTATCTGTAATTTGTAAAGGTTTTAGGCTCAATTGATCATAAAACTGAACTTTAATTCTTGGTTGAAAATCGAATTTTAAAACAACTGGCGAGAAATGGTAGAGGGAAGGATTCTAAATCATCATGTTGAGAGATTGCAGCCCAGACAATTGAGGAATGCCTCAGGAGAAAAGTATGAGGAAACTGAAAAAGGAACAAATATGAAGAGAGCAAATGCCTCTGCAGGGACGTACTGTACTCTCACCCAGCTTGTTTCTCTCTCAGCTTGCATTCCTTGTGATCTCCCGATTCTGTTTTGCTTCTCACATTTTCATGTTGACATAGTCTGGCATCGCCTCTAACGACGTAAGATGACTGTGAAAGTCGGAAGGTGCGCTGCAGCTGCTGGAATGATGCAAATGTTCAACTTCCCCTGCTAAATGGCATATAGAATGGGCTGCTGCTGGCATGAATCGTGTTAATTTTGCTGTGGACTTTATGAGATGGTTCTGCTAATTATGCAGGTATGCAGCTGCGCATTGCATTGGAAGACAAAGCTGGAATTTGTGGTTATCTTAAAAGGCAGCCTGCATTTCTAACCCAAACAGGTTTTCCCTCTTTTCTATAAGCTAATATGCTTTATGTGGAGGTGTTGGGATTTCATTGTGATTATTCCTGCCTACTTATTGAGAAAAAACATTCTGATATCTGTTCATGTCACAAGACAACAGCTTCAACTGGAGATGTCAATTTCACCTATTGCTTTCTTTAATACCTTGTTCCTTCCAATTCATCCTCTGTGGTAAATTACTTATTTTTATCCTTCTTTGTTCATTTAGTCTTTTAATCTTATACCTCTTTGGCCAGATGAGGTAGGGCTGCAAATAGTCATTATCCTGCTTACTCACTTCACATTCTGTGTGGGAACATGAGCTTCTTCTCCTGCTCTTATGCTGTCCTTAACTCAGGGATAAATGCGATCTGTTTGAATGCCATGCTTCCAACTGGAAAATTATCCGATTTGCCTTGTGGGTGTTTTGTTTTTGATGGTTATCAATGAAGCCTCTGTGGAGAAATTGTCCATATTATTCTCCATTAGTTCACCTTCTAACTACCTCTCCTGTTTCTTTTGAGATCTGTGAGGGCTTGACAGATTGCACGCTACCGTGACAACTTTTTCTTCAGTCACTTTTACGGTTTACTGACATTTACAGCATTTTCAGACCCGACTCACTCGTGGATGAGTGCGTGACGTCTGCATCTCTTATCAGTCTCATCTGCACACACACTACATTTAAGTGACAGACTAAAGTATACCTCTTTAATGTGCATGACTAATCACTGCAACCAGATGTCCTCCTTAGCAGCTGCAGACTGCTGTTTGGCCTTGAAAAATAAGGCTGCTTTAGTCCTCCTGATCAGAACCAGAATGACTGCACAGCAGACACAGTGATTATTAGAAAACTTACATGAAAAATCCTAAAAAGGTCAAAGAAATAAGTTGATTTTGATAATTGTAACAATAATAATTATGAAAAAAAATCCCTTAATAGCTCTGTCATTCCAGTCCAACAATATCTGTAGTTCTGAGGTCCTGCTTAGACCTGGCGTTAACTTCTCTCCTAGACTTTTAAAGCCCATTTTTGCAAAGGAAAATAAAAATTAAATAAATTAATCAAACATATCTGCTGGAATTTCTGTAACATCTCAGATACTTTCAGTCAATTGAATAACATTGAGTCCAATATACCCAGATTTTTCCAAGTCACAATTTATAGAACCTGTATTGACTACAACTTAAGATGTGGTTTTAAAGAGGAAAGTGAAAAAACAACCTATGCTGGAGAATGCTTTTGTTTGAAAACAACTGTTTTCAACCTCATTTTATAAATGTACTGACTTGTAGTATCCTGGTTTCTAATGCTTATAAAGACCCCATTAATTGAGAAACCTTTTAATTACTAAGGATGAAAATGGATAAAAGTTTTATCTAAATCAATATTCTATATTTCTCTTACTATTATTTCTAGGTCTCAGGTAATAATGTGTTTAAAGTGTCAAACTGATGCAAACACTTTTTTTTTCTGGCCACTTCTAAAGAAAGCCATCCGCAATGCAGTTTTGAGTGTGTTCACTTCTGTGTTTTGCAAGGACTGGACACTATTACATCAGCAGGGTTAGCACCAGCAGTAGACTGGATCTATGTGAAGCTACACTATATTGCCAAAAGTATTTGCTCACCTGCCTTGACTCACATATGAGCTTAAGTGACATCCCGTTCCTAATCCATAGGGTTCAATATGACGTCGGTCCACCCTTTGCAGCTAGAACAGCTTCAACTCTTCTGGGAAGGCTGTCCACAAGGTTTCGGAGTGTGTTTATGGGAATTTTGGACCATTCTTCCAGAAGCGCATTTGTGAGGTCGCACACTGATGTTGGACGAGAAGGCCTGGCTCTCAGTCTCCGCTCTAATTCATCCCAAAGGTGTTCTATCGGGTTGAGGTCAGGACTCTGTGCAGGCCAGTCAAGTTCATCCACACCAGACTCTGTCATCCATGTCTTTATGGACCTTGCTTTGTGCACTGGTGCACAGTCATGTTGGAAGAGGAAGGGGCCAGCTCCAAACTGTTCCCACAAAGTTGGGAGCATGGAATTGTCCAAAATGTCTTGGTATGCTGAAGCATTCAGAGTTCCTTTCACTGGAACTAAGGGGCCAAGCCCAGCTCCTGAAAAACAACCCCACACCATAATCCCCCCTCCACCAAACTTTACACTTGGCACAATGCAGTCAGACAAGTACCGTTCTCCTGGCAACCGCCAAACCCAGACCCGTCCATCAGATTGCCAGATGGAGAAGCGCGATTCGTCACTCCAGAGAACGCGTCTCCACTGCTCTAGAGTCCAGTGGCGGCGTGCTTTACACCACCGCATCCGACGCTTTGCATTGCACTTGGTGATGTATGGCTTGGATGCAGCTGCTCGACCATGGAAACCCATTCCATGAAGCTCTCTGCGCACTGTTCTTGAGCTAATCTGAAGGCCACATGAAGTTTGGAGGTCTGTAGTGATTGACTCTGCAGAAAGTTGGCGACCTCTTCGCACTATGCGCTTCAGCATCCGCTGACCCCGCTCCGTCAGTTTACGTGGCCTACCACTTCGTGGCTGAGTTGCTGTCGTTCCCAAACACTTCCATTTTCTTATAATACAGCTGACAGTTGACTGTGGAATATTTAGGAGCGAGGAAATTTCACGACTGGATTTGTTGCACAGGTGGCATCCTATCACAGTTCCACGCTGGAATTCACTGAGCTCCTGAGAGCGACCCATTCTTTCACAAATGTTTGTAAAAACAGTCTGCATGCCTAGGTGCTTGAATTTATACACCTGTGGCCATGGAAGTGATTGGAACACCTGATTCCAATAATTTGGATGGGTGAGCAAATACTTTTGGCAATATAGTGTATCTATGGCTGTCTTAGGGGTGAAGCATGTCCTCCCCAGGCTGCATGGTTATACTGTAGGAAGACCAGATTTCAGACAGTGGGCAGCACATTTTCCAGAATACCTCAATAGCCTTAAGATTTCATTCTCACCTCTACAGTTGTAAGCAACCCTGTCCAAGATGCAGCAGAGCTGCCCCAGAACATGATCTTGCCTACTTTATCTTCACTCTGTGAAGGTATAGCTGATGTGATCGGTCCAAATGCTCCAGTTTTAGTCTTCTATGAGCTTTTAGATGCTGTCTTAAACTAAAGCTGTAGTAGTTTGTGATCATTATATACCTTCTGCCCCAGATTTAAATGTATCTCTGTGACTGTTGTCGATTTGTACCAGAAACTGTGTCCATGGCTTTAATTAGGTCCATTTGTCAGCATTTGCTCTCTAAATATGTTTTAAAAGTTGTATAGTAAATTTTATTGAATAGGTACCATTACACCTTTGATATCTCTAGGCAATTTTAGTTTTTCTAAACTAACTTGTTGCGGTGTATTTCTGCAAATGCACAACAGAAGTTTATATTGATGTGTCACATTTTTGCCTGGTATTTCTGATGGACAAAAAACACCCAAAAATAGCTAACTGGACTGATTATTGCAGAAAATACATAAATAATGTTGAAATAATTTTCTGTACATTGAAATCAGAAAAGTTTAGTTTTGTATTATGTAATGCATAATACAGCTTTAATGTATCTTTGGTCAGTTGAAATGTGCCCGATTTATAAGAAACAGGCTTTTTGCTCAGGAAGCAGGCCTGCCTTGTGCTCCTACACAGACATGTCACCTGCTAACTACAGTCCTAAAAGACATTTTCTTTAATAGCAGTGACACGTGGAGCTCCTTTGATTTCCTTTTGTTTCAAAACCATAAATACTTCCAAAAATCTGGACTCGTCTTATGTTTTGTAAGCAAGATAAAGTGAGGAAGACTTCTTTTAGCCAGCTCAGCAGTATTAAACTACTGGTGTTGCAGAGTTGCATTACTATATAAATCCAGAGAGGGCGCTAGTCAACCCAAATATGTATCTGATATCCAGTTAAATTTACTTTTTAACCAGAAACATAGAAAGAATTAGAGGAATGGATTGATAGAAAGCATTAGATCTACTAGATTTCCCCCCCACTGCCTTCTTAGTGTCTGAACTGTCCTGCATCCAGCTTGTGGTGACTGCATTTTCTTTGTGTCCAACAGGATTTGTCACTGTGAAGGAGATGATGAGAGTCCTCTGATCACACCGTGCCACTGCACAGGGAGCCTGCGCTTCGTCCACCAGAGCTGTCTGCAGCAGTGGATCAAGAGCTCAGACACCCGCTGCTGTGAGCTGTGCAAATATGAGTTCATCATGGAAACGAAGCTCAAACCACTGCGCAAGGTACATCTTTATTTACATTGATTCAAAGTGCAACCCACGGTAACCCACTCTATTTCTATATTAGATGCACTCAGGATTTAGTTTTGGACTCTTTTCCAAGTGTTCTTACTCATTTAACATCCCATGAAGCTGAAAAACTGCATCCAACCTGTCACACAGATAACATGACCATGACTGTGAGCTTTGAAACGGGGTGCATTATGAGAGGGGGGGGTGATTAATTTGAAACGCTTTAGATGAAGCATACATTCTTTAAAGGTTGTTATCAATTGCTGTGGCCTGAAGGTAGCTGGACACTCTAATTAAAATTCTTCCACCCCTCATTAGCTGCACAAAAGACCTTAAACAAATGGTGCCCTCTTAATAGCTTCTCAGTTCCATGGGTGAATCTAGACATTTTTCACACATGAGTGTGCAGAAAATACTAAGATGAAACAGAGATGGTCAAAGTAAGAGGTATTTTTCAAAGCTTGCTTTTAGGACATGCTGTGCACGCTTTTAATGAGATCTACCCTTCAGCTTGGCAATTTCATGATAGGAATTACTGATTTGGATTTTTACAAAAAGAGAAGACTGCTTATTTATAGTAGTAATATGATGGAAATAATTTTTTTTTAAAGTTTGCTGGGCTGTTTTCCAGCATTGTTAATAGTGCTGTTTGGCAAACACCTGGATTATCTCCATTGTGTCAGGTTGCAGCTTTTTCTGCCAAGAAACACTGTGTAGCAACCCTCTTTATCTAAGCAGGCCGAATGCTATATGTTGGTATTTCTCTGCTAAAAGTGCCAAACATAAATGCCCAATTAAAATAAAGAAACATCTGCTTTCTGTCTGAATGTAATTTTCCATCTGCCGCAGTGGGAGAAACTACAGATGACCGCGAGCGAGAGAAGGAAGATCATGTGCTCAGTTACCTTCCACGTCATTGCAATCACCTGCGTGGTCTGGTCCCTCTACGTCCTCATCGACAGAACAGCAGATGAAATAAAAAATGGTCAGCAGAGTCAAGATACACACATTACAAACACAGTAATACCACACAGCATACCATAATCTGAGTGTTTGTGCACCATGTACTGTGGTTGGTGCCATTGAACTGCTATTTTCTGTCCTTTACAGGTCATTCATTTATGCATTTACAGAACTACAAATTACATGTATACCTTTCTTGTTGTTAGAGATATTTGTAATATATTTGCAGAGGCTTAACAGAACAATTGCGTAACCAATTTTTCTACATTTCATTCCAAAAGTCATGGAGAAAAAGTACTTTATAAAAAAACATACATTTTATCCACTGAGCTTTTGGTCGATTTAGTCTCTTTGTTTGTAAGCATGTTTGTTTGTAGGCATTTTCATTTCGTGGGTGTGAAAGGAAGGAATGGAATAGGGCAAAAGATACCCAGAAGGACAAAAAATGAAGTATTTAAAGGAGCAATAAGCCTTGTTTCTTCACTAGGTCGGGGTGTTGAGCACTGTAGACCAAAAACAAGATGTGTGACACCTCTCTCTTCCGCCAATCCAGCTGCAGCCCCAGTCTGACAAACCTCCCCCTCTTAAAATAATTTAAAAACAAAACAGAGAATAGATTGAAATATATACTGGTTGTTAGTCGGTTTGGCTTTTCGGACTGATACCAATATGTTAAAAACAAAAAGACAAACATTCCTACCATATTCCATCCAAAAAGATGCCTTCAGTTCCTAACATCACTATTTTCAACTTTTTCTTTCAAATAATAATTTGTGATTGCTCCATGAAACACATTCGAATGTGTTTTAAAGAAATGTTTTCTTATAACAAATCGAACGATTTTCAGGAAGCTTTGTAGGTTAATATTTTTAGAGTATAGTCTTATTATAACAAAAACAGGCTACAGTTTTCTTAAGAAACCTGAAATTTAAAATATAGATAGTACTTTAAGGGAGAATGTCAAGATCATTGTTGATACTTCTGTAAGCTGCAAGTTAGTTTAGAATAAAATACATGAAATTACAAAAAGAAAGAATGAACTGACTACTTAACTTAATTTTTATTAACCTTATGTGTGTATTAAAGTTTGTATGTTTTATTAAAACTCAAGAAAACTTTCTTCTTGACCATCTCTATCAGTTCAGCTTAATGCATATGGCAAATCCTAAAAGGAACTTTTAAAAGGTCAGAGTTTGTGGATATTAGTCTTGTAAAACAAGTTAACTTGCTGTATTTTCAATCCTAACTTTAGAATTATGTTAACAGACAAAGGATGCTACAAATAATTTTCTCTAAAACTTAATTTTAAACACATCTGTAGTTAGCTGATAAGTAAAAAGACTTTCATCTTTTTTATTTACTAGGGAGGGATATATCAAAAAGAAATATAAGTGACTTAATAATTTTCTAAACTGTTATCAAATAGGCTACAGAGGTTTGTTCAGATGCTTTTACATGTTATTTGAGCTGCATCGCAAATCCATTCTAAAACAGTAGACAATTTTATATTAAAAGAATACCTCTGATGTGAAAATCTGTGTTTTTCGATTATTTAGATTATCTTCCACTTAGCTTAGCATGGGAAAATTAAAAAGGAAAAAAACCTAATCTTCCACAATTAAAAGTAATAATAAAATAGCTAAACATATATCAAAAAGTGAGAATAAAGTTCATTTAGTAGTAAAAGGGGCTTTGTATTTTTTCAGTCATCGCTTTGATTTATGTGAAAACCTTTAATAGAATGTTTTGATGATTTGGATCTTTATTTTTTTATTTTAATGTGAATCATTTTCATCATAACAATTAACCTGTACCTCACCAATGCAGTGAACAGCTGTCCAGCATGAAATTGGTTTTAGGGCTCTTAGAAACTTGATCCAATAAAGTAGTGGGTTAGAACCTCTTGTACATTTTTCATGTGCTCCTTCTCACATCCATCTGAGCAAACAGACAGCAGCACTCTGTTACACGGACAGCACCATCAGGATTTAGGATGTAGATGGGTGTATTAATGCAGAGACATTATGGCCTTGGCTGGCAGTAAGGCTCCTGTTACTCAGTGCTCCATCCCTGGCATGTTTTGTGTTACTGAGACGGTGTACAGATGGAGCAGCAGGCTGTTTGTTAAGCTCAACCTGATGAATCAGAAATGTCCGAGCCTCTGAGGACTGTCAGGTTCAGTCACCATGGTGATGTACAGTATTTTCTCATCATTGCTGCTGTTTTTTCTTTTTTTTTCCCCCTTTAATTTTCTCAGAAATCTGAGGACAGATTGGTTACGTCTGTCAAGTTATACACTTTAAAACCCTTGTTCATGATTTTAATTAAAGCAACAGATTTTCCTGATTAACCACATTCTAAGATTTTACCTATGTAATGTTTGGTGTTTTATATTAATTTCTGAAATCTGTTTTTGTGTTTTGTGATGCGTGACACTTACGCTCTATTTATTCATGCAGCCCGAAGAATCCCAGGTAAACATTTCAACTTTGGCCTTTTGACGTTTTTTTCTCCCGTCAGCCTGTTTTTGTCAGTTATGTCAGCTCTTTTCCAGCTGTACTTTACACCCCTATCCCTCATCTTTCTTCCCTTTTCTGTCTTAATCTCAGGATGAGCAACATCTCTCCTTATCAGTCCAAGAATACGCTTTGATTTAAAATCTTTGTGGTACATTTTAACCTGAAAAATAAATTAAAACTGGCAACCATAATTTCACACTAAGAAAGGCTCATAATAAAATGCACAACATTTTATTTTTTACATTAAAATGGTTTCTCTTTTGTTGTTTTGTATTTACATTATTTTTTTATAACATATATTATGTTTTGTTAATCAGTCATGAAGCTTAATGCCTTGATTTGTGCTATAGGAGACCAAACAGTCAGATAATCTATCTTGTCTTAATTTGACAAACATTTGTGTTTTCCCTTTTTATTTTTTTTTAATCCTTTGGCTACAAGTGTAAGCTAAAACAAAACAAGGTGCATAATTAACCACCCCTTAGGTCAGCAAGATATTTTTGACATGTCAAAAATCAGCAACAAATAATCTTCATTACTTCAAACCTAGAGCTACGGAGCCCCTCTGATGACATGGTCAAAAAAAATGTTTCATTGTGGCCACGAAGTAGTATTTCGTGCGCACGAAGTAGTATTTTGAGGCCACGCAATAAGTATAATGTGCGCACGAAATACTACTTCCTGGCCACGCAATAAGTTTAACGTGCGCACAAAATACTTATTAATAATATCAATAAATCCGCCCCTGTTTTCAGGCTTATGTTAACTGTAATGACTTATCTTGGACAGGCTGCTATGTAAACTGGCCTTTAGTCCTTCGTTTAGCTATGCTGCGGTTGTTTACACTACGCCTTTTCCACCTAAAATGGCGTCTTAGCAACAAATGTCACTAGACTGGCGGAGACCGACTGGGTAAGCAAATCGAGCGCGCCTTAGAGAAGGCGCGCTCGATTTGCTTACCCAGTTGTCTAGGAATGATATTAATATTATTAATAAGTATTTCGTGCGCACGTTAAACTTATTGCGTGGCCACGAAATAGTATTTCGTGCGCGCGTTAAACTTATTGCATGGCCACGAAATAGTATTTCGTGTGCACGTTATACTTATTGCGTGGCCACGAAATACTACTTAGTGCGCACGAAATACTACTTCGTGGCCACAATTAAAATTTTTTTTTGACCATGTCATCAGAGGGGCTCCGCATAGAGCCCTTATTTGAAAGTAGGTTTTTCCTCTCTTAAACTAGTTTATATATATATATATATATATATATATATATATATATATATATATATATATATATATATATATAATATATATATATATATAATATATATATATGTATATGTATGTATGTATGTATGTATGTATGTATGTATATGTTATTATTATTATGAGGCGTGAAGACAGTGATTTAAAAGTTTTAGTCCAAAATAGTATATTTCCATAGAAAGGTATTTGTTGAAATAGAGTGAAACTGGGCATCCAGATAATTCATGTTTTATGAGTTTGAATTAATCTGCCTTCACTGGAACTCATCTCAGTTGAAACTTTACAAACCAAAAGAAAATAAATATTGAGCTCAAACACTATGATCTGCAATAATGTTGAAAAAATATAGCAGCTGTTTGCATGGCTTGTCTCCAATATTTATACAAATAATCAGGAGCATACTGCAAAATAATTGACAGCTGACGATTCTCTTTTTCATGTTTCACTTTTTGTCAAGAAACAACCACAAGCCTGATTGTATTTTAACCAGATTTTATATGACAGACAAACACAGAAGCGCATAATTATGAAATCATACAATGCTTTTTTGGAGCAATCTGAAGAGTGTGGCAAGCATATGTTTTCATTAATGCAAAGTAAAACCTTTCAAGTATACTTTGATACAGTAATAGTGATAAGTCTATGCGGCTCTATGTGTGAACCATCTCCTCCCATGCACACTAAGATGTTTACCCAATCTTCTTAGCAAAGCAGTCAATGATGCTACTACCATCACCTTATAATATGAGAATGGTGTTTTCAAGGTGTTTTCTACCCTGTAGGTACCTTTGTATGTAAATCAGTAGTGTCTGAAAGTGTCAGGACACAGGCCCCCGAGGGCCGAGTTTTGACACCGTTGTTATCCTAATTCCTATTAGTTACCATGTGCACATCAAAAGATTTTCTTATTAATGTTCTTTATTTGAGAGTGTGCTAATTGAAATGTGTAAAGAATAGCTCTATTTACTAATTAGGTGATTTTTAAAGACACTGGTGTGCAAGGGATCATATTTGGAGCAAATGATGTAAAAGGAGCTGACGACACTTTCCAGATTTATATTTTAAAATTATTTTAGTGTTCTTTGTTTTATGCACCACTTAAAGTTGAACTGTCACATATAAAATTTGACAAATTGTGAAATGGGCTCTGTAGGTGCTCCATATAAGCATTTTATTATATGATTCAGCTTTGATCTGCTTGTTTTTTTATTCTTTATCATTCCACCCTTTTCTCTGTGTTCCCTCAGTTTTGTCTTTTTTTTAGAGCTTTTACAATTACATTTGCAAAATCTGTTTTTCATTCTTTCCTGTCATAATGCATCTTTTTTTTAATCATTATTATTTATGGTTTGTGTTTGAATCCTGCCCATGATTCCTTTTTTTCTGGTTTTCTCATCCTCAGGTATCCTGGAATGGCCTTTCTGGACCAAGCTTGTGGTGGTGGCCATCGGCTTCACCGGTGGACTGGTTTTTATGTATGTCCAGTGCAAGGTCTACATCCATCTATGGAAGAGACTCAAGGCCTACAACCGGGTCATTTATGTGCAGAACCGGCCGGACACATGTAAAAAACTGGCGCTGGAGAAACCCCCGCTCATGGAGCCAAGCCTGGAGAGCAAGGAGGCTCTGGCCCCCAACCAGTCAGACACAAACTCCTCCCAGTACACAGAGACAGAAGAATACAGTATGGAGGTGCTGCATGTCTGACACAAAATAAATTTCATCAACCCCCCCTACTTGTGCTGGTAGAAACCGGCGGGAGGGAAGAGTAGCGCTTGACGTTCACCTTCCTCTGATGGTAGACTTGACTGTCCTTTTCTGACTCCGCCTGTTCGCTCCAACCACATTCGACCTTTCCCCTCCCAGGACCGAACTGTTTGTACCGACTCTTATAAATGTCACAAAAGGCCTGGAACTCAACACTCTACATGCTCTGTTCATGTTCCCCTCCAGATGAGCGGATCAGGAAATCCCTAAAAGCCCATATTTGATGCATCGTTTTTTGGACTTGTTAGAACGCGTTTATTTCTACCTACACATGATAACAATGAAGTGTTAGATCAATACGCTGCCGTGCATCTGATCTCTTGAACCTTCCATATACTGCCATCTTCGCACTAGTCAGACTGTGACCAGGCCTTGGAAATGCATTGAAGCACTTTTTTTGAAGCTCTAAATCATCTCCTCTCCTACTTTTTTAGTTCTTTTCCTTTTTTTAATTTAGAATGACGTAAATGTTGTATTTCGTTCATTGGGAAGAGCACAGTGAAACTTTTTCCTTAAATGCACATACTCTTACGGACTTAACCCTCACTTGGATGGGGAAAAAAAAAAAAAGAAATTGGGATGGTAAAATGAGGGAAACCTGCTTAAGGAAACAGAAAGTGTTAACATCTGACTCCTCTACCGCCCAACACATGGACTTTCTGAAGGCTTTGAGAATGTAATATTTTCTAAAAATGATTAAAAACATAAATAAAATCAAAAAAATATTTTTTTTACTAGTAACTTGACATTGCAAGAATCATTTCCATGTCTTGAGAAGGTAATGCAAGCCTGCAGGCATATAACAGCATTACATTTTTTTTTTGGTTTAATATCTTGTGAATGACAGTATTTACAGTGTGATATTCCTTGTGTAGTTTTTAATGTGAGCTGATGTGTTTGCTTAGTCATGAGACATTACCAATTTAGGCCTCGAGAAATGAACAGCTTACTGTTTTCGGTTTCCTTTTTTGTTGCTCACACTTCCTCGCAGACAAGGATCTATAACATTTGCTGCCAGATCAGATTAAGAAACCAACAGGTTGATAATGTGATTTTCTTCTTTTTTTTTGCCTATTTTTCGCCTTAGCAGGTTGAGATATTTATATTCCATTAATAGCCTGTTTTTAAATATTTCATCAACAAGCTGTAAAAGAAACACAAACTGTGGTTTGCTTGTTTTCTTCTCCAGTGTCACATGCTCCATCATGTCTGTTTTATTTTATCACCAGACAACCAGCATCATACCTCTCAGTTCCTGTTTCCTCCTAAATTACATCTGACTGCAAGCTCTTTAATATAAAGTTGATTCTATACTCTGACAGTTCAATCATTTTTCAATAAAACCATCTTTAGGTTTGCAGCCTGTGATGGAAACTGAGCTTTATGAATAATTAGATTGTGTCGCCACCTGCTGGTGTGCAGCTTAAATCTAAAGCAAACAGCAGTTGATTTCTCGTGGCTTTATTTCTTTCATTTGTGGAAAATGCAAGCAATGCAAGACTTTACAGCCATTCAAACAACACAAACATTTTCTTAAACTGTCCCTTATACCAGTATGCTGTCTGTGACCATTAAGGATGTGTTAGTGCTCTGCAGCAGCAATAATTAAAGCACAGGTTGTTGGGTTTTTTGTAATAATGCATATTATATTTAATTATAAGCCCTTGTGATCTGGGATTGTGTTTGAATAGAGAGCATGGGCAAAAGGAACCACCATCACCCCGTGTTTAGTTTGTTTAAAAAAACAGTTACCCTTCTTCAATACCCAGAAGGCTCCATGCAATTAGACAGATTTTTAAAAGTGCAATTACGTTTTTTTTTTTTGTTTTTTTTTTTTTTTTTTTGTTCTTCTCTACAGTAATATTAAAGGTCAGGGTGTCCTTTGGATAGGTAATGAAATTCTTTATTTTTGTGTTTGTATTTATTTTTATCAGAAATAGTGTACACTTTGTTTATAGAAACCAACCCTTCTTTAAGCTGTTTTTATGCAACTTGCATCTAGTCCCTTTTTTCAGGCTTAAGCAAGGGCAAATATTTTTGCTGCTTGTGTTTTGCACAGTTTTTCTTTCATATATTAATCTTTGTTTTCCTCTTTTTAAATCAGTTGTTAGATTCTGTTAGAAATATGCAACTACTGCTAAAATGTACAGCATTTAAATTCTAGAAATGAAAATGGCTGAACGAAGCTGCAGTTTCCCTGAAACGAGAGATTTAGGCATTTAATTTGCCTTTTTTTGATTTACTGTCACCTTCCAGGAGCTGGCTCCTTTTATGAAGTTGATGGTTTTAATGGATGTTTCTCTTGGATAGCCTATTTACATTTTACTTCAGTTCAATCAGATACACATGCAATAGCCAGAATATGAAATTATCTCCACTTGACAACTTTATAGTCCATTAATCCTAACTCCCGTCCAGGAATCTGAGCTTTACTCAACTTAATGCGACTCTTTGTCTCAACATTTTCTCTCATCTCCTGTATTTTCCCCAAGTGTTTTGTTTCATGAAACTAGATCATGTCTGGGACTAGTTGAACTTGCATAAAAAGCTTAATTTGTTTACTACTGACCGGACTTGAACATGTATGACTGTTTTCCCCGCGTCTCATATCATTCCACGTGTTTTTTGTCTGTGAATTTGCTTTAAGATAGTAACTGTAAAGAGTTTGGTAAAAGTGTGTACGTTTTTAAGAGAAATCTTGATGTGTTTTCAGTTTATTTCCAATGTTTGAACAAATATGTAAAATTAAAAAGAACAACCAAATAAAAATTAAGTTGGGTCTTTTTCACATTCTTCTGTGTTGTGATTATTCCTGTAAAGCCAACTAGATTTGAGATTTTTTTTTTCTGCAGGTTTTAAGTTCCACCCGTTGTTGCCAGTTTGAAAAAAAAATACATCAGCAGAAAGATAATTTCTTTGTTTTTATATCTCTGCATCAGTCTGTTATGTTAATGTCCCTTTTTAAGTTCGAATGTCGTATGAGGACAAATTACAGCTAAGAATATTTGGTATTTTAATCCAACTTTAACCCTTATTATAAGATAACTGAGAATTTAAGTTTTTACATTTCCTGAAGAGTACTGCCGTCTGGTGGCAGTAATGTGCCACCATCATATACAATTGCATAGCGCTTACAGGTGCTGGTCATAAAATTAGAATATCATGAAAAAGTAGATTGATTTCAGTAATTCCATTTAAAAAGTGAAACTTGTATATTATATTCATACATTACATACAAACTCATATATTTCAGATGTTTATTTGGTTTAATTTTGATGATTACAAATGACAACAAATGAAAATCTCAAATTCATCATATCAGAAAATTAGAATATTGTGAAAAGGTTCAAAATTGATGGCCCCTGGTGCCACACTCTAATCAGCTAATTAACTCAAACCACCTGCAAAAGCCTTTAAATGGTCTTTCAGTCTAGTTCTATAGGCTACACAATCATGGGGAAGACTGCTGACTTGACAGTTGTCCAAAAGACGACCATCGACACCTTGCACAAGGAGGGCAAGACACAAAAGGTCATCGCTAAAGAGGCTGGCTGTTCACAGAGCTCAGTGTCCAAGCACATTAATAGAGAGGCGAAGGGAAGGAAAAGATGTGGTCGAAAAAAGTGTACAAGCAAGAGAGATAACCGCACCCTGGAGAGGATTGTGAAACAAAACCCATTCAAAAATGTGGGGGAGATTCACAAAGAGTGGACTGCAGCTGGAGTGAGTGCTTCAAGAACCACCACACACAGACGTATGAAAGACATGGGTTTCTGCTGTCGCATTCCTTGTGTCAAGCCACTCTTGAACCACAGACAGCGTCAGAAGCGTCTTGCCTGGGCTAAAGAGCTGGTGAGTGGTCCAAAGTCATGTTCTCTGATGAAAGTAAATTTTGCATTTCCTTTGGAAATCAAGGTCCCAGAGTCTGGAGGAAAAGAAGAGAGGCACTTCATCCACGTTGCTTGAAGTCCAGTGTAAAGTTTCCACAGTCAGTGATGGTTTGGGGTGCCATGTCATCTGCTGGTGTTGGTCCATTGTGTTTTCTGAGGTCCAGGGTCAACGCAGCCACATACCAGGAAGTTTTAGAGCACTTCATGCTTCCTGCAGCTGACCAACTTTTTGGAGATGCAGATTTCATTTTCCAACAGGACTTGGCACCTGCACACAGTGCCAAAGCTACCAGTACCTGGTTGAAGGACCATGGTATCCCTGTTCTTAATTGGCCAGCAAACTCTCCTGACCTTAACCCCATAGAAAATCTATGGGGTATTGTGAAGAAGAGGATGCAATACACCAGACCCAACAATTCAGAAGAGCTAAAAGCCACTATTAGAGCAACCTGGGCTATCATAACACCTGAGCAGTGCCACAGACTGATCGACTCCATGCCACGCCGCATTGCTGCAGTAATACAGGCCAAAGGAGGCCCAACTAAATACTGAGTGCTGTACATGCTCATACTTTTCATGTTCATACTTTTCAGTTGGCCAACATTTCTATAAATCCTTTGTTTTTATTGGTCTTCAGTAATATTCTAATTTTCTGATATGATGAATTTGAGATTTTCATTTGTTGTCATTTGTAATCATCAAAATTAAACAAAATAAACATCTGAAATATATGAGTTTGTATGTAATGTATGAATATAATATACAAGTTTCACTTTTTAAATGGAATTACTGAAATCAATCTACTTTTTCATGATATTCTAATTTTATGACCAGCACCTGTATTTCCATACCTCATATCTAAATTCTTCTTTTTTTTTTTTTTTTCAAGGTTAAATTCAAGTCAACAAAACTCCATCTACTGTAGATCTGTCAGATGGTGAAACAACTTATTTATATATCATTAAATAAAATCAAAACATACTGACTTAGAGATGTGCAAATAGGAAAGAACTGGTTTATGATTCAACTGTGTGCACATCTCAGACTTGAACGTAACCAGTCTGATGAACCTAGTCAGTAAAGAGGTTATGAAACTGTGTTTAGATTCAATTTATTCATAAATCAGATTAAGAAAATATGTCATTAAAATGCTTTAGAAGAGACACAAACCCAAATCATTTAAAGTTTCAGAGAAATATGAATCGGAACAACATAAATCCCACCAATCCCTACATTTGAAATCCCTGAATGTCTTACATTCTAGATAACTAACATCATTGGCTTTACAACAATATTATTCTGACATTTATACAGAGCAAAGACGCACGTGTAAAAAAAAAAAAAAAAAAACTTAATTTTTCTCTAGAAAAAAGGAGGCAGAAATCCATTATACAAAACGATTATTAAAATAAACATACAACCAATAGTTTTCTCTCCATAGCACATACACCCAATGCTATTAGACTGTTTTTTTTACTTTAGGTAGGACTACAAAGCAGGAAAAAAAAGATATTAACAATCCCAAAACCGTGAGTTACATTGGAAACATAGTTAAATTATTAGTATTATTTACAAAGTAAAAAGTTGGAGCTCTTATTTTGCACTCTGGAACACTGAGATTAGTTGTATCATGACGGCACTTTCAATCAAAGCTTATTGCTTTGAAATTCTGATCAAGATCTTCAGCATCTAAAAGTCTTATTTTAAATGTCCTGTTAGATGTGTATTCTGAATTTATCCTCGGATGGAAATGAAAA